ATCTTTCACAATCACCCACAAACACCAGCAACCACAATTTAAGGTAAGAAATACTATTATTTCTCTTACATTTGTAGTCTTAAGCAGTAACAACAACATAATACATCACGACAATGAACTACAACTACATATTCACTTTTATTTTTGTAAGATGTGGAGGCCTAAAAAAAAAGTTGTTTGGCTTTTGGGGGGCTCCCAGGAAAGTAACCCTATTTTTCCCATAAGTTCTTCAGTTCATCTACTAGGATTTTACCTAACACGGCATTTTCAGGAACGTAACTACTGTGCTAAATGACGGTCTACTGTATACAAAATTATTATCATACTGTCACAAACACACATGTACACACTGATAGATGATTTTGCACACCTGGCTGAAGCACATTCTATTATCTACAACTATATACAAGTATTTACATGCCCCACTGATGTTTCTAGAACTCCAAGATTGTATGATATTCCATATAGCACGGATTCATACAGAGTGCCACCCTACACTGGTGACACATGAATCGTGTGTCCTGCTGTTGGGGGCGTTTTGTGATGGTAGCACACACAACACACTTTTTCTGTGAATACTTCTTCTTTGGGGTAGGTGGTATTTGTATCAGGTAGTGACAGTTAGGGATGATTCAGGCTGGCACTTCCCCAACAGGCTGTGGTTGTGGTCGTGGTCAGGGGACATGTCGCTGTTGAGGGGCAGGTACAGGTGTGGTACCATTTTTTTTTGCTATCTGTTTTATGACATTTAAGGAGAATTCTGCAAAACATTGTCGTTTTCCAGTCTTTATTTTGTACATACTGAATGCATTGAGCAAGCAATGTCTACAAGGTGGAAAAATAGTTTTATATACCACTTGCGACTCCTGCGCACACAGTCAACGAACCCTATCATCATATCACACTTGTCGACTAGTCGCATATTGTTCGTGTAGTCGACCACAACAGTTGGCTTGACAATATGTTCACTGGTGTCCCGGTTCACTTTGTCTGTTTGTACCATCTCGTTTCTGTGGATGGTTGACAGCAATGTCACATCCCGTTTGTCATGCCACATGAATGCCATGATATCATTGGCATGAAATGCTTGCACTGCCTCCACTGAACCTTGGCATATGTTTTCTATTCCTTCTCACTGTTCCACATATATCAGTATTGTTCGCATATAGGAAATCAGCAAGCATAAGGAGTGTACACCAGTTGTCTGTGAACAATGTATGACCCTTGCCAAGGTATGGTTCCATCATCTTGCAAACAACATCACCAGAAATGCCCAATATTCGTCTGTCATCATCGAGTGTGTTTCTCCCAGTGTAGACAATGACATCCAACACAAGACCACTCTCACAGTCACACATAACAAAGCGATTACGTTTGCTCGGTATATATTGCTTGAAATCCTCAACAACTCTTGGTAAATTACCCCAAGACACTACTAAAGTCACCTTCAGACTTCACAATGAGGCAGCCATTAATAACTTCACAACAGCAGTAACAAACATTGACTGGCAAACTGAGCTAGAAATCTATACAGACATTGACGAATGTATTAATAATTTTCTAAAAAAAGACCAAATACCTCTATAACAAGCACTGCCCTAAAAAAACTAAACAGATGACAGCCAAGAGACTGAACAGTCCCTGGCTAACACCCAGCATCCTCAAATCCATAAATACAAAACACCTCTATGAGAAACAGTACAGAATGGGTCACATAACCAGAGACCAAACAAAACGTTACTCGTCAATCCTAACCAGCCTGATAAGAAGGGCAAAAAAATTGTTTATGAGAACAGATTATCCACTTACGAGGTGACATAAAAAAGACCTGGAAAACCCTATCAGAAATTCTAGGAACAAAAAAGATAACACGAAATAGCGAAATTAAATTAACAAAAGCAGATGAACACCAACTCCCACCAACAGAAACAGCAAACAGACTCAATGATTTCTTCTCCACTATAGGAAAAAACCTTGCCAATAAAATCCCAAGCACAGATACCCCACCAAATGACTACCTCACTGGCAACTACCCGAACACACTGTTCCTAGCTTCGACTAACCCATATGAAGTCTCCCTTATTATCAACACACTAAAAAACAAGACAGGAGATCTAAATACCTTACCACCCTTTATATACAAAAAGTGTCACAAGTGCTATCACCAATCACTGCAACACTCTTTAACAAATACATTGAATCCTCTACCTTCCCTACAGTTCTCAAAATAGCAAGGGTCACCCCGATCCATAAAGGAGGAGACCAAACCGAGTTGAATAACTATAGGCCAATATCCAACTTACACCCTCTCTCAAAAATCTTCGAAAAATTAATTCATAAACGAATCTACTCCTATCTCATCTCCCAAAACATACTCAACCCCTGCCAATTTGGTTTCAGGCCTAATAAAAATACAAATGATGCTATTATACACATGCTAGAACATATATACACTGCAATAGAGAAAAAAGAAATCCCACTGGGGATCTTCATTGACTTACGAAAAGCTTTTGATACAGTTGACCATGACTTGCTCCACATAAAATTGTCTCACTATGGTATAAGAGGGCACTCCCTCAACTACCTCAAGTCATACCTCAGCAACAGAAGCCAGTATGTGTACACAAATGGGGCAAACTCTTCCACACAACCAATTACATTTGGTGTCCCACAGGGAAGCGTCCTTGGCCCTCTTCTCTTTCTCCTATACATAAATGACCTACCAAATGCTTCGCAATTACTCAAACCCACACTATTTGCAGATGACACTACATACGTCTTCTCTCACCCGAGCCCAGTCATGCTAGGTAATACTGTAAATGCCGAATTACAGAAAATATCAACCTGGATGAGGACTAACAAACTTACGCTAAACACTGACAAAACCTACTTCATTCAGTTTGGAAACAGAGCTACAGATGTCCCTCTTAACATAATGATAAACAGATCACCTATCACAAAGCTAACAGAGGGAAAATTCTTAGGAATCCACCTTGATAATAGACTCAAATTTCATACACATATACAACAAATTTCTAAGAAAATTTCCAAGACCGTAGGCATACTATCGAAGATACATTACTATGTTCCACAGTCAGCACTCCTGGCCCTGTATCACTCTCTTATTTACCCCTATCTCACCTATGGAATTTGTGCATGGGGCTCAACAACAATTAACCATCTCAGACCACTAATTATCCAACAAAAGGCTGCAGTCAGAATGATAACAAATTCCCACTACATGCAGCACACTCCACCAATATTCAAAACACTTAACCTACTCACCATACAAAACATCCATACTTATTCACACTTATTACTGCACCTATTACATACATAGAACACTTAACTCTGATATTAACCCTCCCCTCAAACATCTGCTTGCCAACCTCAACAGAACTCATGACCCTAACACAAGACACAGATCACTCTTTGATGTTCCTTGTGTCCATCTTACGCTATGCAAAAACTCAATGCACATAAAAGGCCCTAAAATCTGGAACTCATTACCTGTAAATATAAAAGAAACACTACCTGTTCATAAATTCAAGTCTCTTCTCAAAGATCACTTACTCACCCAAAACCAAATAAATACTGAATAACTGAACCTTATAAATTGTATATCCTAAATGTTTCTCACAATTATATCACATAAATGTTAAACCTAAGACCCAATCTAACTTTGTTATTTTTTAAATACACTACCTAACAGAATACTCCATTCTACTGAATGTACAGCAATGCATGCAACCATATGACCTGTCTTTGTAATACTCATTTGTGCTTTATTGTTATGTTTACAATAAAGTTTTAGCACTGATTACATCTTTGCTTAGTTAATCTCAAGTTAATTTTAAGCCTGCCTGTAATGCTATGCATATAAGTGGCTTTGGCATGCTACTCTTACCTGTATTTTTTTGTACCACTGTATGTATGCTACAAATTATAAAATAAAATAAAATAAATAAAATGACAGGCGTCCCTTGAACTGAATCAAGGACTCACCGACAATATTGTTCTTGAAAGGATAAAAGTATGCACTGAATTTCTGCTACATATACATAAACACTTCCCGGATTTTGTATAGATGGTCATTTCTGTTGGGCCTATTCCTGTCTGAGAAGTGCAACATTTGTAGCAACA